CCAGCGGCGGGGCCCCGCGCATGTGCCCCGGGACCTTGTGCTCCTCGGCGCCCGTTCCGGGCCACCCGCCGCTGGCGTGCAGCGGGGGCTCGGCCGTGTCGGCCCCGGCAGCGTCCTCAGCCGGCGGGTTTGGAGCCCGCGCTCTGGCCCAGGAGGCCCCCGCGGGGAGACGGGTTCGCAGGGTCCGGGCTGCACCCAGCACCGGGCTCTACCGGAGAGGCAGGCTGGGGCGCCCCCGGAGAGGGGGTCCTGCGGAGGGGACAACAGGCAGCGGAGGCCAAAGGGAAAGCAAACTGGGACAAGGAAAGACGGGCAGCAGAGAAGGTGGCAGAAGAGCGAGGGGTGGAGGAGGAGAGGGACGTTGGGAGGAGAAACAGGGAGAGCGAGGCGCAGAGAAAGAAACCCGTGAGCGAGTGAGAGAGAAGAGATACGGTGAGGAAGAGAGAGGAAGACAGAGCAGAGAGTCAGACTCAGGGAAGTACAGTCATTGAGGAGAGGGAGCCACTGTCGTGGGGGGCTCGGTAGGGGGGTGACGCAGCCTTCCACAGTGTCCTTGCCCCGAAGTCCTATCTCCAGAGCTGCACTCCAGGCCGGGTCAGGGGCGCGCGCCTCCCTCTCGGTCCTCCCAGGCCCCACCTCTGTGGCTTGGCAAGAGGGGAGCCCGTTCCAAAGCCCCCAATCCCACCCCCTTCCTTCTCTGCCCCTCCCCCTTCCTGCCTTTGTTCCCCGCTGAGGGCTTGGGGCTGGGAGTGGGGGTTCTCAGCCTGAAAACCCACTCATTCCGACTCCTGAGCTCTGCTCTCCCTTCCCACGGTCACGGCCTCCCTTGGGAACCTGCCCTTTGCCAGGAGACTCCTGAGAGGAAGACCAGGAATCCATTCCAACCTGGCCCCCAGGCTTTTCCAGCCCCCCCCCCAACACACACACACACACACACACCATGAGGCCAGCTGGGGGACGCTTCGGGCTCTCGTTCTAAAGTCCGTTCAGCTCTGTGGCACTTTCATGTGTGCTGGAGTAGGGGGGCAGACCCCTCTTCCCTCTTGGATAACCCCCTTTCTGATGTGGGAGGGATCTCCTTGCAGAGGGACCCAGGTCTGAGAGCTTACATGCAGAAAGTCCGCCCCCTCCTCCTCCTGTAAGTGGGAGCAGGCCGCAGTGAGTCCCCTGAAATCAAGTGGTGAGATTTAGGGGCCTTCTGGGGGTATTTCTGAAGAGGGGCTCGCAGGGTGAAATGTGTTCTCCTGCCCCCACCATCCCCACCAGCAGCCCCTCACGCATTCCCCAAGAGGCAGCTCCTTATTTCGTGCAATGCGGGTTAGGGTCCAGTTTGCACCAAAGCTGGCGAGCTGGCTTGGCACCTTGTGGCAATTCATGAACCTCTGTGAGTCTGGGGGTGTGGGGTGTTGTGAGGAGGCAGAGGCTCCCTATATCTGGTGGCAGGCATGTCAACCTGGAACCTCACCCCTCTATGGGCACCGTGAGGGCTCAGCCACCAGGGTTAGTCAGGGGCACTCGGAAAACTGCATATCTCCATAGGTGACAGGTAATAGCCCAAACCCCCCACAGGAGCCCCGCATGTTTGCACACCTTGTAGGGGTGGCAGACACTCACACCGCGAGCACACTGTTGCCCGAGTCCGCAGCCTTCTGAGGGCCACACGGCCAAACTCCAGCTGGACCGCCAGCCTGTGGGCCTTTGCGTGGAGGCTCAGGACAAGGCGGAGGGGCAGACTAACCTGAGAGGCCCCCTGAGCTCTGCAGGCAAGCCTATGCCCTCTCCACGTCAGGCCTGGAATCCGGGTCCTGGACTGAATTTCATTTGGTGTCACCATCTCTTGACAGGCCTGGGGCATCTCCACACCTCTGGGAGGTCAGGCGGAGCTCAGTACTTGGAGCACCAGGTCAGGGACCCCTTGTGGGCTTCTGTGCCCCCAAACCCACTGGCTGGACCCGGTGGACACGGCCTCGTGTGTTTGGGTGGGCTGCAGGCGGCTGAGCGTTTCTGTAGAGCACTATGTGTTCCTTGCAAGTGTGGTTGTGGGTTTTATGAGCACATCTCCATGGACATCTGGATTAGGAGTCAGGAAATGGGGGCCGAGTGGGCATCCCAGTGTCACCTGGGCACTGGAGTTTTCTTTTTGGGATTGTTTGCATTTGTCCTCCTGCAGGAATATTTCTGTGCACGCGGGAATTTGGCAGCTGGTCCTGAGCGTGCATGGGGAGCAGTCACAGCAGGTCTTTATTTCTGTGTGTGTGGGGGGGAAGGGGGGAGCAGGGGATGTCCCTGTGCTGTTTTCCAGCATGCACACTTCTCTGAAGGACATCCGTCCTCCTGGGAGATGGTCTGCGGAGCGTTTGTGTGTTTTCATGCAAGGCTGTGGTTACAGAAGTCCGCCTTCCGTTTGGGTTTCTGTTTGTATCTGTGTTTCTCTTCTGTGCTCTTTTCTCTCATCTCTGGTGTGCACTGTGGCCCGAAGCGTTGGTGTGGTGTAGCTGGTAGGTCTCCAGGTCCGCCCCTGTGGCTCTACCTTTCTCCATCCCCGTGAGATGTGCCCACCGCGGGGGTACCGGATGCGGGGGCCTGTGCCAGGGATATTTCCCACCTTGTGGCTGTGAGTGATCTCATGGCGTGATGGGGGCAGCTGGCCTCAGTGACGAGGTCTGGAGAGCAGCCCCCAGAACCAACCGTGTGCCCCTCTTTCCCCTGCAGCCAGCGACCGGGACTCACCGGAGACGGGCGAGGAGATGGGCCGCGCGGAGGGCGCCTGGCAGCGGGGCCCCGGGCCGGGAGCGATGCAGCGGGAGGCGGCAGAACTGGTGGCGCGGGGTCCGGCTGCGGGCGCGGAGGAGGCGGCGGAGCTGGCGGAGGCCCCGGCGGCGGCAGGGGAGGCGCGTGGCGGCGGGGCTGTTGGCGGCGGCCGGAAGAAGAAGACGCGCACGGTCTTCTCGCGCAGCCAGGTCTTCCAGCTCGAGTCCACCTTCGACCTGAAGCGCTACCTGAGCAGCGCCGAGCGCGCCGGCCTGGCCGCCTCCCTGCAGCTCACCGAGACGCAGGTCAAGATCTGGTTCCAGAACCGCCGCAACAAGTGGAAGCGGCAGCTGGCGGCGGAGCTGGAGGCAGCCAGCCTGTCCCCGCCGGGCGCGCAGCGCCTCGTGCGCGTCCCCGTGCTCTACCACGAAAGCCCCCCGGCCGCGGCCGCCGCGCCCCCCTCCGCGCTGCCCTTCCCGCTGGCGCCCAGCGCGCCCGCGCCGCCCCCGCCGCTGCTCGGCTTCTCCGGGGCCCTCGCCTACCCGCTGGCCGCCTTCCCCGCGGCTGCCTCCGTGCCCTTTCTGCGGGCGCAGATGCCCGGCCTGGTGTGAGCCCCACCCGCTGGGCCCACTCCCGTGGCCACTAGGGAGCTCTGCGGATGCGCGGGTGGCGCCGGGCGCAGGAGGCCATCCTGGAGGGCTGGCGCCTCGGGAGTGCAAGCTGCGGCCCTGAAGGGTGGAGGTTTTTTCCCAAGCTCCCCCAGAATGTAACAGGTACGCTACCGACAGTGGCTCCCCAAAAAGTTGCAAGGCTGGACCCCCGCAGGAAGAGGGCATCACCGAGAGACAGTGGCCATGCTGCCCAGAGCCCCATGGGGACAGGCCTTAGCCTAGAAGTGAATTTTGCCACCCCCTCAGGAGGAAGCCAGCACCGGGCCAGCCCACAGCAAAGACAAACCACAAACAGGCTCCAAGGTGCTGAGAGAAGTGACCACCCCCCAGCACAAACGTCCCTTCCGGGGACCAGGACGGCAGGCCACCTGAGGACTGTGATCAGTCTTACAGCCTTGACAACGGGCTGGCAGTGAGAACCTGGGGGTGAGAGCCCCTGCGGAGGGAAAGGGTGTTGTACGGCCACCGGCCAGGTGGCGTCTCAGACTGTCCATTCTGAAGACAGGGCCAGACTCCGGCTTCTCTCCTGGGCTGCAGCCACCAGCGGCGAAGACTTTTTTTTTTTTAATGAATCTACTTATTTGCGTATGGAATAAAAAGGGACGTTTTCTGGATGGTTTCTCCTGCTTTGTGATCACTGGCGCGGGCCCCTCCTCTGATAGCACGCCACACAGTGGGCGCTGGTTCTCCCTCCTGAAGCACTTAGCAATGCTGACCAGGGACCGGTAGAGCCTCCAGCCAGGTTGGGGGTCAGATGGGTAGGGCTGGCAGGAGCCTGAGGTCTGGGTGCTGTGCTCCCACACACCCTCCTGACTGGCAAGCTCAGCGGGACCACAAAGGAAGTAAGCGAAGGGAAGGAAAGGGGACACTCAGTGTGTCCCACATCCTGGAGCTCAGGGGTCTTCACAGAAACCAACAGTCACAGGCAGGTGAAGGCAGAGCCCACTGGCCACTCCTTTGCACATGGGTTGTGTGTCCCCCCCCATGTCAGCTGCCCCGTCATGCACTGGAGTTGAGAGCCATCTCGAATCATATGGGTTTTTTTTTGCCCAAAACCAAACACTGGCGCTCCCTGCAAGGTCAGGTGGGGAACGCTGGCTCCAGCCAAGGCAGCAGCCCCGGCATCATTTGCAGTCGCTGGTGAGCTGGGGGGTTCGGACTGGACCGTGGGCACAGTCCCGGCTCAGGGCCCGAGTTTATGGACCTCAAGGACAGCTTATTCCATGGTCTGGATCACGGTGGCCACCCCGCCTCCATCAGCCCCAGGCTGGCGCGTTGCAGGGTGAAGACTGGCCGCTGCACCAGGGAGGGACGCTTTATTGAGTATACTTTTTCAGCCTGGGGAGAGAGGTCATTCGGGGGCTGAGAGGGTCGCTTCTGTGACAGAATCGAGCTCCCTTGCAAACCTCCGTCTGGGCTTCTGATGGGAACAGACGCGCCTGGGCCGAGATGAGCGGCAACCAGGTCACACACGGAGCCTCTAGCCGTTCTCAGCATTGGCGCCAGACGGCCCAGGGGCAGGCGCCACGGGGGTCTGCCCCCAGGTGGCCTGTCCATCTGTCTGTCTGCCCCTACCATCCAGCTCTCTGACCCAGAATCATCCCGTGTCCCGAGGCCAGGCCCCTGAAAGCTCCAGCGGGGCCTCCTGGGGGGCAACCCCTGATGCAGGTGGTCCTCGCCCCGCTGGGCCCTCAGATCCCCACCTTTGGGCTCCCAGTGCCCGCTGCACGATGGGTGAGCATCTTGAGAAGACTCGTGGGGTCTCTCCTCCAGTCCAGCCCCCACCCCACTGGTGCGGTGGATGCCTCCCCTCAGCCCTTCCGATCCCCTGTCCTGGGGGGAGAGTGAGGGGTGCTGCTCCATGCTGCTGCTTTTCTCAGCCACGGAAACTCGATTTTGAGTTTGTCTAGAAGGGACTTTTAGGATCTGCTTCAACCAAACGAGTTAGCTGCTAGTTATTTTCAAAGACCTCCGCTCCTGGTCAGTGAGGTCCTAAGGGGACGCCTGGCCAGTCCAGGGCAGTGCCCACCCTTCTCGCTCCGTCACTCTCCTCCCACCGGGCACTCTCTAGGCCTCCCCACCCCTGGCTCAGGCTCTGCCTGGGACCCTCGTGCTCTGAGCTTCTGTTGCTTTTGTGATGGCCTCCTGCAGTCAGCGGACACATCACCGCCAGTCCTCCAAAGCACACAGCCACCGAGCAGCACCGCGACCGCGTCGCATGGCGAGGCCTCCTGGCCAGCGCAGGTCCCTGCGGGTCGGTAGCTGCCTGCTGCCCTGTCTCTGATTCTTCCCACCCCCACGCCAGAGGAACAGCTGGGCATTCTGCCCTCATGCAGCACCCACCCAGCGGTGATGGTGTCTGGGAACTGGCATGGTCACGGGGACTCTGGGACCACGAACGGGATCATTAAAACCCAGGTTAAGGGAATCATCACCGTGATGGAACCGTTTTATTTGACTTGGTTCATGCGGGTACAGTCCCCAAGTGACACGGTGACTACAGCTTGCCGCTGAGTGCAGTATGCTGCCAGAGGTCCCCAGGTGGTTGGCCCTCAGCAGGGGGTCGGTCCACACCCACCAGAGCTCAGCGCTGGGAACCTTGAGGCCTGAGGAGCCATGTAGCACTGGAGCCGCAGGCCGCAAAGGGTGAGGAGTGTGTGGGTGGCGTGTCTAGAAGCTCCACTGGGAAGCAGAGAACATGGCCACCGGCCTGAGCCTGGCACCCGCAGGGAGGAAGGGGCTATGAGGCTACAAGTGAGGGCGGATTGGGAGAAAAGGGCTGTGTCTTTCGATGAAACCAGTGAAAGTTTGTACTGGCAAGTGGCTTCCGTGCCTGCCGGGCTCGCCCAGGTGCCCGGGTCGGATGGCGCAAGCAGCAGACCGAGGGGCTGTGCCCCTATGCAGAAGGGCCTGGCCCTTGTCTCCTGAGCTTCGAGCCTCACGGTGAAGTGTAGAAAGTGGATTTAAACCCAGGCTAGGCAGGTTGGGCTCCGGGAAGCCGGCTCTACCCCATGATTATCCAGCGTCCTGCGTGTTGCACCAGCAGCCGCATAACCGGAGAGAGACGGTGGTTACACACAGCCCAGAAAGCCCTAGAGGGCGTGCGGGACCAGGCTGGGGACCGCCAGGCCCTGAGCTCCAGCGCCATCGATCGCTGGCAAACCTCGGCTCTTTGGCTCCGCTCCTGGCAGGAGATGAATGACTTCAATCTCTCCCCACCACGCCTGCACCCCCATCCCAAACAGCCAAGCCCACTGGCCCCTTCAGTGAGGCCCAATTCAGCCACCAAGGGTTGTCCAGGGCTTCAGGTTGCAGAGTCCTTGAGCCCAGGTGGATCCAATAGGCTTTGGACACCTGGGACAGGCCCAGCTGTACTCCCCCAGTGACCTTGAGCAAGCCCCTTCGCTTCTCCAGGACTCAGTTTCCCCATCAGAGACCTGTGCTGAGGATGGAGATCTGTAACCTGTAAATGTTCAGCCTTCTCTAATCTGAGCTAGGCTGACAAGATACCTGGGCCAGGGGCCTAGGAACACTCCTCCCAGGCTCTAGGGCTCATGCTGGTGTGGGACTGCGGGAGTGACCCAACTCCTCTGGGCCTCTCCGTCCCCTGCCTGGGGACTACAAGAGCCCAATCTCCACCAGCGCCTTCCTGAGAAGAAGTTGGAGAATCTGCTCCCCCTAGAGCTTGCCCCTGGGGACATCTGAAGGTGGGACCCAGGATGGGCCACTAAGGCGCTGTGAGAGCTCAGGCCATTCCTCGGGTCAAGGGAACATGTGGCGTTGCAGTCTGACAGTAACCCACAGCGGTTCACGTTCCACCCAGAACCAGACCTGCCCCACTTTCCCCCAGGTGGTTGCTCTGCCCCTCACCCCCTCCACCCAGGCCACTCCAGGGTCACTGCTGCCCGCCTGATCCAAAGCCCTGATGAGAGAAGCCCCCGGAATTACCCCTTTCCTAGCGGGCAGTTCCCCACCCACCCTTCTCATCAGGCGCAGGTTAGGGGCCGTCTGTGGCCTCCACCTCCTCCCGCAAGCCTGGCCTGAGGAGACGGTTTCCCAGAGAGACCAGGAAGCTGCCGGCCTGGGTTGAGACAGAAGGGGCTGGGAGCTGGGCAGGTGGTAGGCGGGCACCAAGAGGGATGCGCGGCCAGGTGGACTGGTCTTTTTCTTGTGTTTGTAGGTTTCTCTCTCAAGCATTCTTCATGGTCTTCTGGCCCCATCTGGTAATTCTCAGGAAGGGAAACTGAGGCACCAAGAGGGGCAGAGACTCTGGGGCAGGGACTCCATGAAGTCACCTAGTTCTAGGGAGGTTGGCCGCCCCATCCCTGGGGCCTGACCCTGCACTGGAGTCGCTCCTCCCTGTAAGCCTGCTGTTCAGGCGGTGTCTAGCTCTCCCTCCCCATCAATCCAATCATCTGGATAACTCCCTTTGCCTGCCCTCCCGTCCGATGGTCAGTGCAGGCGTCCACCGTGCTGTCTGCCTATGGAGGGGTCCTGTGGGAGGTGGGGTCCCGCCTTGCCTCTTAGAATCGTTAGCAACGACCATCACCAGGACCCTGCGATCCAAGCCAGGTCCCAGAGGCAGCTCAGCCCACGACTGGCTGCACAGCCCACTGCCCTCTCAGGGAAAGGAGCGGGATGCGAACACCCCCTCGAAGGTGGGCTGGGAAGAGGGCCACCCTGTCCTCACAGCGCTGAGCTCTGAATCTGGAATGGACGTGCAGGACAAAGATGCTAAGAGGAAACGGAGAACTGTGGGACGATTGGCGGCTTCACCGCCTGGAGACCCAGCCGAGGAGTTGCCTGCTTGGCTTTCGCGGGCTCCCGAAGCTGTTGTCCTCCGATTTTATTTTTTTAATGACAAAAGTAATGGAGCGTATTATTGATTATCTGGGAATTGCAGTAAAGTCGAAACAGAAATAAGTTGTCTGATTTCCACC